TTAAACCTTTTTTTCCTTTATATAACTGAGTGCATTTATTCAACTACTGTTCTGGTATTTCCTTTTAATGCTACTTTATACTTTTTACTCCACTTAGTAAAGTTACTGGTTACGTTTCTGTTAACCGTATGAAACATATTGTTTAAGATTAAACGAGGTATCAGGCTGTTTCTCCGACAGTCCGAGTTGTTACATGCAGCAGCAGCAGCATGTAACATCTAGATGCCTCAGAGGTTATAATTTAAAGAACTATTTGAGGCCCCGAAGAGGTAAAGAGAATGAATACAGAATAATCTTGTGATCTTTGGACCCCAATGTTGGGAAACCACCGATTTAATTATGAAAAGGTTGAAACTAGCTCAAACAGTTTACCAGCTACAACAGTAAATGTGCTGCTTACACATTGTTGCATCAGTATTAACACTCTACTCATGCAATATAAAGTAATAGATCACTTACTAGGGCCGTTTGTTTTGCAGAGTGAGTGTCTTCACTTTTAAGATACTACTAAAGTGCTGACGTAGACCTTTACTTGTAATGGAGTATTTTTACTTTGTGAAGTAAAGGACTTGAGTACCGCTTCCACCTCTGAAAATATCATTAATTCCCGAGGCGATGAATGATTAATACGAGACCTTGAGGCATGCGATGAGAGCAGTGATTGTGCTCGGTAAAAAGAAAAAAGAAGTCAATACTTTCCCTCATCTCCTCCATACATCACCAGATTTCCAATCACAGAGGGAACGTCGTGGATCATGGCAGCAGTTGAGATTTTGCCTTCAACTCCGGCGGCCGGCGGCTCTTTACATCAGCGCAACGACGGCCCAGCCCGAGCTCCGATCCATTAACCTGTCACAAACTTTTGAATTGGAATTGATTCCCCTCGCCGTAATTATTCATCTGTCCCGATTATTTATCGCTGTGACGACGGAGTCCGTGCTTTCGTGTTCGGTTTGATTTTTTTTTTGGGAGCAGAATTAGATTTCGAATAGAAGGTGTGAACGAACCGACCCTGAAACACCGGATACACATCTGTCTGGAGCAACAGCCGGGGGGGTCTACCGCTTAAATTAATTTACATCTGTGATTAAGTCTGATTCACAATGTGTTTGGTGTTATTGGTGTGACACTCAGAAAATACCTAAACCAGACACTGCAGTTACATGTTCACTACGATGGATTATGTCATATGGGGGGGGGGGGGGGGGGGGGGG